GGGGAGTGTGAGGGGTGATGTTTCTCATCAGCCTACATAACCAGCCACACCGACTCTTCGCTGGAATTAGTTAGGCTGGATAATACAAAGCTTGAGTGGCTTGTATTAAAAAAAGGTCGGTACGAGCTAAATGGCAGCAATCCTCAATGTGTTTCTGCAGGCTTACACTTCAGTTTCTCCAGCACGACTCACCTAAAAATGAATGCAATTCCTCCCTCCCCCATGCAAAAAAATTGTTGTTATAACATTAACAGAATCCAAAACAATCTGAAAAGCAGCTGCTCCTCTAGTTGCTTACCATGGCCTAAATGTTCAGATTTTGCTTTTCAAAGCTACAAAAGTGTTCTGGAATTCACAAACAATTCAGTAAAATAAGCTGGCTCTAGCTCTTGTGGGTGTGAGGTAGGCACCTGCACCAAGCCTTTGGCTCTGCAGTGTTGACTTCCCTGTTTTTAGGAAAAACAACCAAGCTTTTCACTACCTCCTGCATTTCTACCAGTGTCCCAAACTCTCGTGAGATCCAAACGTGGGGGCAGACACATGTGTATTACCCACCTGAATGTCTTCGGTCATTGTCTGGTCTGCAGGTTTGCTCTTCTGCCTTAGCCATACTGAAGTTCTGAATAGCACTTGTTACACTAGAAGACCTCAAAAGCATGGATGTCTTTATTGCTCCCTGATTTTGCAGTGGAATGACCTGTTCCATCTTGCTAGGCAGAACAATAGCAGCAGATACAGGTCTTTTGAGTCCTAAATCAAGAACCTGTGTCTAAGCAACACTAATGCAAACTCAGAATGCCTCATGAATTTACATGTCATCCTTGTATGTCTTAGTCCTTTTCTCTGTACAACAGATAATGGGTGGAAACAGATATGCCTAGCTCATCCAGTGTCTGTCTGAGCTAACTCAGGGTGTACAATGTGGACAAAGACAGCCCAGCTAGCACTGAGCAGTGCTGTTGCATATGACTTTCTGTGCTGTTCTCCCCACTGATTTGCTTTCTGTTATAAATTCATTGAATTTGAATTCTGAATTGCATTTCTCCACCATGCATTCAAAACTGAGCTATCAAAAGAGAGAATGTAAGTGTCCCACCTCTCCCATTGCTTTCTGTGGGCAGGGGAATCTCTATTGGTGCTACAAACATTAGCATTCCCTGTTTGAGGTACTGTATAGTTCTGTACTTTTACCTGTACATTTCTAAACCATTTACCCTTTATTGCTCTTCTGTGGTGCTTCCTTATAAGAATCACAAAGCACTTCACAATCACCAAACTGTCACTATCTGAATTTTTTAGAATATGACTATTACAAGTTTAGCAGAGGTTTATTGGTGGAATATTTCTTCCTGTTTTGTTGAGTTTGTGCTTTTGATTATGCTTAGTACACAGTCAATTTCATAGGTTCCTGACTGTGTAGGAAGGTCCTCTCCCTTATGCATGAATAAAATTACTCTTTGGTGAACGGACCTACAAAAAGATGGGCAAGAACAGCAGACTGACTGTGAGCATTGAGATGCTGGCTGTTAATTCCCTTCCTTTTCTTTATGAGAGCCTTTTTCAGTGCAGCTGAAAGCAGAAACAATTAAAAAATAGGCAACATTGTATTAAAGTAACTTCAGAAGCCAGTGAAAGGCAAATTCAGCTTTGGAAATACCTTTTACTCCTTATTTTGAATTGGCTGTGTTCAAACTTAGTACCAAGAATTATGAGCAACCACATAATTAAGCCAAAGTATGCTGGACCTAATGGATGGACAGCAAAAAAAAGAGTGGCTGAGTGATTTCCCTCTACTTATGAGATGCCTGTATTAGACCTGTCAGGTCCCTGTACTCCTAGACCTATATCTCAGTGCCTGCCTCTACATTTCTTATTCTGTAATAATGCTAGAATAGGTCTTGTTTACTTCAGGTATTGGTATGTTTCTAATTTCACCTCAGCTTTTGTATCACTAATTGCTCAGGAGAAGCTTAGCAAGAATAACTACAGTTTAAAGAAATATGTGCATACCTGAAAGTACTGCATCTGATGATTTGAGGAGATTCACCTCTGAAAGTTTAGAGATTTAGGATAGACACTTATAGCTAGGTAATTAATATTCTCTAGGAGTGGTAATTTCTCCAAATTGATTAGAGAACAACTCTTCTGACCTATTTTAGATATATTTCAGAGTTTATGATACAGTTTATCCTAAAAGTGCCTGCTTTTCTCCTTTCCATACAAAGGATATCTATGTGACATGCTCAGATGTAAATATCTGTAGGAGAGAGCTCTGAAGTTAGGCTAATGAATTCTACCCTTTCTTTCTACTTGACAGGTTTAGGTCTTCAAAAGCATTTCATATAAAGAAAATAATATGGTGCTCTGACTTCCTAGAGGAAAGATGCTTGAACAAATACACTCATACTGTAGAAAATTAGTGTCATAAGAACCACAGTTGCACTTTTGCTTCTTTAACTGGTTTGGATGGGAAGTGCCTTTTGTGAGCAGTGATGACCAAAAATGTTTTGGAGTCTTCACTCCCTGAGGATAGATTGAACTGACATATGCAGTACAGTCTAAAAGCAATAATGTACTGGCCCCCCTTGCTGGCATTTAAAGCTTCTCCCCCTTCTGACTGTGATGAAAACCCTCTGAATGCAAGGGGGGGTGGGGGTGACTGCTGCCTAGCTAGCATTGCTGAGATGTCACAGCTCCTGTTACAAAGGTTTCTCCCACTCAGAGCTATGCTGTCTAAAGCCTCAAGTAAGAGCACTGAGAGTAAGTGCCAAAAGCAGGACTGCAGAGGATTTTAAGATTCTGTATCCTCCAAGAGCTGCCTGAGCAAGACAAGGCCACATATGAGATACTTGAACGGTCATTTAAAGGGACACTACTGAAAATTGCCCTGCTATTTGAAGATGTCTGCTCTGTTTTCACAAGTAACATATAAGATTATTATCACAGAAAGAGATGAGAAGATAGGGAAAAACATTCTCCCTTTCTCTTCCCTCACCACTTCTCCACACACTTACCAACACTTTCTACAGTCAGTTGTGCTGCTTCATTTAAAAGACGGCAATTTGTCCTTTTTCTCTACGGAGCTTGAGAGAGAAACTTTTAATTTTGTATAGGAAAATATGATAGCAAAACATTACTTGGTAGGAAGTACCTGGAGCTA